CAATGGGGCAAGTGTCCTGACTGCAGCCAGGGCCCACAGCGGGTGGCAGCTCTAGGAAGCCCCTCCAGCACCCCACTTGCTAGGACGAGGCCCATCTCCAGACCTCTGCAGCACTCCTGGTTTGTTGCTTCAGCCCCTTCTCTGGGGTATCTCTAGTTTAGAACTGAAAATGCAGGGTCAGATCCTTAGCCTCGCGTCAGCGGCACCGTGGTGCTGCGAAGCCAGGTTAGAGGGCTACCTGGCAAGTGCCCCTGGCATAGAATTCCTGTGGGGTCAGTTCCTACACCACCACCCCGGTGCCTGGGACAGAGTGTGGGTGATGCTCCGCCCAGCTGCAGGCTGGCCATAGCTCCAGCATGGCTCTATATTCAGGGATGGTGCAGAATCAGCCCCAAGTGGAGGGAGGGAGGGAGAGAGCTGTAAGCAGCTGCACTCGGCATTCACTGGGGTTCCCCCCTTCTTTGACTACAAATAACAAGTGCGTATGAAGAATCTGCCACATAGCTCCCAGTTTAAGGCAATCCCCACCGCCTGCTTCTGCTCCCCACACTTAGTGTCAAATCAGAGCCTCTGTGAACGGGGCCTTCTCCGCTGAGGCTGATGGAGTTGGTCGTGCAGGCTCGAGGGGTGAATAGGGCCTCTAGGCAAGACAGCGAGGCTGGAGCGAGCCAAGGGCTGGTTGTCTCAGGGAGTGGCTGCTCCTCCTGATGTTATGCCAGTTGGCAAGCAATGTGCTTTTGCCATGATCTGGGGATCTGGAGAGCATCACATGGTCCCAGAGCCAGTGGCAGGGTGGGACTGCCCCTGTCTCTATCACTGTGCGCATGAGATCGGGCACAGGCGTGGCAGGTCAGCCAGTGGAACAGCCCTGCTGATGGTCAAGGAGCAGCCAGGGCCTTGGGAAGCAAAGGATACTTCTGAGCATGGGTCAGTGGGCCAGCCTCCACCAGCCCATGGGCAATACACAGCCACAGCATGCTCCTGCCACCCTCCAGCACCAGTCCTAGCTCAGAAGCGGGACCCAGGCTGGTTTGTCAAGATGCAACATGGACCCAATGACATCGGTCCGACCAGCCCCCTCCCCGTAGTGCAGGCAGCCAGACTGCGTCCAGGGAGAGGCACACAGCCCAGAGAAGCAGCGGCTGCTGTCGCTGCTCTCCAGGCAGTGGGATGGTGCGAGCGGGTGCTGGCTGGATCTGTACGCCATGCTGGATGTGTTGACCATTGGTCAGAATTTCCCCTTCCCTGGGAGGGATGCTGGCTTTGGAGCAGGCGCCCGCTCTCCATCTGGAAGCAGAGGCTGCTGTCTGTGGGCTCACTGTCTTAGCCTTATGCTCCCATTTGCTTCTAGCCAAAACGTGGTGAGCACATTCTAAACAGAGCCACCCCATGCTGACCCTCAGCCACACAGGCCATCTGGGGCTAGGCTGCTCTACACTGGCAGGGGACCCCTAAGGGCAGGGGGTTGGAATGAGTCCTTCACATCCCTTAGGACATCACAGGCTCCTCTTCAGGGAATGGCCATTTAGGCTCCAGCCCTAAGGAAGAAGCAAAGGAATGTCTGGTCGCACTCACGAGTCCACACGTGGAAGGGTGCCATGGCCTGGCTCTCTGAGGGAGGATCTTCCGTCTCCAGCCCGCTCAGGGTTGACACGTGGATGAGATACCTCTCCCCTGGCCGGAGGTCCCTGAGGCAGAGGAGACAGAGGGAAGGAACGTAGGAACTTAGGGTTGATTAGCTATTATGGCAGAGATTTCCAGGCAGAGATTGCATCTTTTCCATGGCTGGATGGCACCCAGCACAATGGGCCCCACTCCTGACTGGGCCCCTGACAGAAATACTCACTACGCTTCCGCGCCCCGAGTGACTGCAACCCCCAAGCTGAGAAAGCAGGAGCACTGATGTGATTTCCAAGGAGCCTGGGGTGGGGCAGAAACCTGACTGTATTGTGTGATGGACTCTTTACTACACAACGTCTCTGTGGCTATCAGTGTCCCCACAGTCACTCAGCCCCTGCACCATGGGTGTGTGTGTGTGAGGGATCGGTTTTAAACTACTGCCGTACGTAGTTTTGCAGGGAAAGCCAGGTTGCCCACTCTCCCAGTTACCAGCATCGGTGGGCATGTGATCACAGCTAGCGCCGTCAGCTGTGCTCCTCCCCACACCCTTGTAATGAGAGCCCATGGAAGGGGTGAGGAGAGCCCTGGGTGCTGAGCACTTGGGATGTAGGTTTCTGCCAGTGTGTGCTGCTCCCTGCACACATGGTGTGGTGTTCACACTGCAGTCATCTGCACCGTAGTGGGTTTGGGCTGGGTGGACAGAGGGGCCTGTCATGGATCCCCCTAGAATGGAGGAGCAGGAGCAGGGTCCAGAGCTGAGAGCAAAGGAGTGGGAGTTAGAGCAGAAGCCAGGTCAGTTCCCTCTGGCAACTGCCACCAATGGCCAGGACAAGGCAGGGAGCATGTGCTGCAGGGACTACGATGGCTGGTTTCACCATCACTACCGTGACAACAGACAGAACTCATAAACAGCACTTTACCCTTCCAGGACCTTTCACCTAAGTCTCTCAGAGCGCTTTACAAACACGTCAATCAAACCCCACTGAATATGTAACTTATCACAGACAGGTCCTGAGATCCTGGGTGATGAGAGTCTGCAAAGGACTTTACACTAATAACATTTGTGAAAAACCTGAGCCCATGATTCATAGCATGATCCTGACCCCACTGGATCTCCATCGAGCTCAGCTGGATTAGCTGAGTACGGAGTTCCAGAAACCAAGTGTGGCAAATAGGTAAGGGTCAAGAATCATGCAAACTGTCTGACTGTAGGGTTCCCTCTTCTGTTGCATACACATTCTTATACACCACTTATTGCTGTAGGATCTGAGCGCCTTCCAGTAGGGCATTGAGCAATGTGACTAACATCTGTCACATATTATTTGTTCTCAAGCACCGAAACTGACTGCTGGGTCTGAAGTGTCTGTCACTGGAGGTAGAGAGGCCGCTGTCAGCGTCACTAGCATGTTAGCGTGTCTGCTTATTAACAATATTGAGGGATGTAACAGCTTGGACTTCAATACTGCAATTTACAACATACCCGCAGAGAGTCCCATCAAAGTTGGTGGGGCTGTCTCTGCCAGCATGGCAGAAATTACAGCATCATGGCATTTGCTTGGTTCTTAACCTCATCCTGAAACTTGCCTAGTGCTGATACTTGGTAGCTATCCAGCACCTTTCACCTGAGACATTCATTCACAATGCCCCTTTGAGGTAGGCCAGTACCAGTGCTCACAGCCTCACATGGCCAACAGCTACTAAAAACTAGGTTAAAAATATCATAATGAAGAGAAACTTGGCGGAAGGTAAACCCCTGGGTTAGCACTGATCTCTCCCTGTCTGCAGACCATAAATGCACTTGTACATTGAAGCTGATTTCAGTTTGTGTCCACTGGGCGGCTATCACATTGAAGTGTGGTCAGTTTAAGAAGGCGGTACCCCGAACCCCCTGCTAGTTTTGTGGGTTTTACAATCACATGTTTCTCTGTTTTACAATCACGTTTTCTCTTTCTGCCTTGTTGCTGAGTGAAAAGGCCCATACAAATCAGGAGTTCCCCTAGGAATCAGCCAGGTTGGAAGCAGGAACTACCCACACAAACAGTGACTAACTACCCAAGAAAGCAGTGGGACTGATTAGATATAAAGTGCTATAAAATGCATGAAGCAAATGGACTGGAGAGAGAGAGAGAGAGAGTTTTCCTTCATAATTCCTCTCCATTTTTAGGGTTCCTCAGTGATGCCTGTTACAGAAGTGGGTTAAGCAATGCTCAGGCAGCAGGGTGGTTCTTAAGTCAACAGCATCCCTTTAAATCTCTCCTAGGATTGTTAACCGCCTGCTCTCATTGGTCCACACTCTGCCCTAGGCTGCAGTCCCATGTGCAGGATCCTGGGTATGTGAAGCCAGCAGATCCCCACCAGAGGCAACCCTAGCCAAAGCATTATGCCACCTTCGACTCGCAGTCCCCATGGAGGGGCCGGGGAACAGCTGAGGGAGAGAAGAGTTTGGCTAGAGAACACTGATCTCCAGTCGTGCTATCTGCTGGATGGCCACCTTTGCCCGCAGCCCCAGGCTGTGCCAAGCTCAGTGCAGTCACAGCCCAGAACTGGGGGAATTATTTCCCCTTGTTTCTCTTAGTGTCTAGTCCCTTCTCTTAGCTTGTGCCATGCCCTCCCTCACCTGAACGTGTACTTGGTCACACTGCTGTTCAGCTCCACGGTGCGGTCCTCCAGGTCCCCGGGCTGGCGGATGGAGATGCGCACCTTGCTGATGGAGGAGTGTTGGAGCCTGTGGAGAGCCCACTGCACCGTGATGGTGCTGGCCGTCACGTTGGCGATATCAAATCCCTCCACTGGGCGAGGTTCTGTGGGGAGGAGGAAGCAAAGGCAGGGGGTGGTGAACAATAGCTTCGAGAGCCCCTCAGAAGCCAGACATGGTGCTACCTCTCATCCCTATAGGGCCTGTGCCCGCGTGTGCATCCCCATGACTGTTCTCCCGCCCCTTTGAGATCTTCCTGTCAGAGCATCACATCTCAGCCCAGCAGCTTGGCCTGGCATCCCTAGGCCTCCCTGCGCTTGCAGTGCTTCTGACAGACAGAGCGGGAGGCCCGCTCCCACTGCGTGCCAGGGAGCACCAGCACCACAGCCAAAGGCTGGGGCCTGACCCTCGCTAGGCCAGCACATAGTGACACTGCTGGGCAGGCTCCTATCCCACACTGTTTTGGCCCTTAGTGCCCACAAGGCAGCAGAGCCCATCCCCCAAGCACCAGGCTGGGGCCTGCCAGCTTGGCACTTAACAGCACCAATGAGAGGGAACCCAGAAGCCGCTGTTTCTGATGTTTCCCGAGGACTTTCAGGACCAAGTTCAGCTCTCCAGGCAAGAGAGAGAAAGAGCAGCTGAACCGGCAGCCCAGGGCACGGGCCTGTGTGTGTGTGGGGGTTCTCTGCACTCCAGCAGGGGAGCTGGGTAAAGTTTGGGCATGGGCACATGGCTATGCTAATCAGGTAGGCATCACCCTCACTGAGTCCTAGCAGGCTGCTCTGGTTTGTGGTGCATGTGCCAGAGAGTGGCTGTAGGATAGGAAAGCTTATTCACAGTCTTTGAAATAGTTGTCTTTCAAAAGGCCAGGAGTTTCCTAGAACAGGGCAACGGAGATGGTGTGGTCCAGTGGGTAGAGCACTGGACTAGAACTCGAGACACCTGGGTCCTGTTCCTGGCTGAGTGAATACGTCCACTCCCCATGCCTCAGTTTCACCCCCCCCACACACACACCTTTTGGCCATCTCAGCTGTTTCAGTAAGCTCTTTGCTGTCTGTCCCTCACCAAGGGACCCCAACCTCAGCTGGGGCCTCTAGGTGCTACTGTAAAATACATAGTAGGAGTTGAGGGAGCACAGGCCCGACCCAGGGCAAAATGGACTCCGTATTAATGGGAGACACAGCAGCTGGAAGGAGCTGTGAGTTGTGAGCCTGCCAGGGAGTGAAAACAGAGCAATCAGCCGGGAGGGCCAGCTACTCTGTTGCCAGAGGAGACCCAGGCTCTACCCTGCTAATGCTCACATGCAGCTCAGGACTGTACTTGCACTGCTGTGCTGTGGCCTAACACACAGCTGGGAGGAGTCCTGCAGCTTGCTGCGAGACCAGACCAACCGGGAGCCTTTCCCAGCCAATGCGGGCATGCTGCTCAATACATGCTGATTTCTACTGACTTAATGGCTGTGCAGGGGACTCAGGCCTTGCCCCTGCTAAACATGTGCCAAGGGAGACTCCCATCTGACTCCGAATGAATCAGTCTGCTGAAAGCAGGAGGGTGCTGTGCAATGGTCACTCGCCCTTTCCTATCATCCTCGGTGCCCCTGCCCTACCAGCTGGGAGGGCTGCCATTCCCTCTAGGGACTGCTCAAAGCTGGCTACACTGTTTCTCTCTCCAGACAGCATGCCAGGGGGTGAAAGCTCAAGGTGGGCACCATTCTCTGTGCCCCAGCTCAGTTGGATGATTGAACTCTGGGCAATACAGGAATTGCCAGACTGGATCAGCCCTGTGGTCCATTTACTCTGTCTCTGACAGTGGCCAGCACCAGCTGCTTCAGAGGAGGACAGGAAACCCCAGAATGGACAACCATGGCATCAGCTGCCCTCAGGGAAGTGTTTTCCTGCCTTTGTCACTTGGTGGTTGGCTTATGCCCTGACAGAGGAGGATTTTGATCCCTTCTACATTAGTCTGTTATGCTTTGTAATGTAACTCTGATTCCCTCACTATCCATAAGAGGTCCAGGCCTGTTTTGAACCCTAGGAAAGCCTTGGTCTCAATGAGATCCTGTAGCAGGGAATTCCACAGTCAATTACGTGGTGGGTAAAAGTATTTCTTCTAGTCACTTTTACAGTTCTTGCCTTTCAGTTTCTTTGAAGTTTCCCTTGTTCTAGTGCTAGGAGATAGGGCAACCAGAAGTCCCTGAGATACCCTCTCTAGACCACTCATTATGCATCTTTACCATGCCTGCTCTGATTTGTCTTCTCCATTTTTGCACCCTCTCTTTATAGGGAATTCTTTCCAGGGCTCTAATTGTTTTCAGTGCCCAGCTTTGAACTCCCCTCTAGTCCTGCAATACCCTTTTGTAGAGAGGATGACCAGTCCTGGAGACAGTACCCAGGTGAGGCCACACCACCGAGTTGTCTAAAGGCATGAGGCTATTTTACAGATTCACCATCCCACTTCTTATGCACCCCAACATTTTGTTGCTCTTTCAACCGCTGCTACACACTGAGCAGAAAGGTCTTCATTGACCTGTCTACAGTGATCCTAGGTCCCTTTCCTGAGTTGGCACACTAAGCTTACAACCCTGCGCAGTGTAGGAGTAATTAAAATCACTTCTTCCAATTGGCATTACTTTGCATTTATCAACATTGAGTTTCCTCTGCTGGTGTGGTGCCCATTCCCCTGGCTTGCTCAGGTCTCTGGTGTTCCTCTCAGTCCTCTCTGGTCCTAGCTGACCTAAATAAACTGTGCCAACTCGCCCTTTAATAAATAATATTAACTGCAGATCCCAGCAAGGAGCCACTAGGTGCCCACTGCTAACCTTATGCCATATGAAAATTGACCTGTTAGCACTCCTTTGCTTCTGGTCTTTTAGCCAGTTCCTGATCCATTTCACCCTGTGGCTACTTAGTTTCCTTAACAGACACTTTGAAAGCCCAACTAAATCATCTCAATCAGTTCTCCTTGAGACACTAGTCTATTGACACATTCAGTGAATGAGGAGATTTTCCTTGCCAGAGGCTTGCCACTGGGCCATTAGGTTGGTGGGAGGGCCTTTTTCATTAAGAGGTTGCTATGTATACATAAGGATGTTGGTTTTAGATCTAAATGGATATTTCCCAAATAAAGCTCATAGATGCAAGAAAATATCTGTATGTAAAACATAATGTTTTTCATACAGCTTCTGGTCCTTGGAGGCCACTCCTGCCCCCAAGCTCCCATGTTGCCTAACGAACTCCAAAGTGGGTTGTGGTGCAAGACGGATTGTTCTGTGGGCTGAGGGGGCTTTTAGACCAGTGCACAACTAGATGAAAATTTCGCTGTAGCGTTAGATGGTGGAAAGCAAGCTGGGATAGCCGGGAAGCAGGTCCTGCCATCTGTTAGGAGGTAGCATTGGCTGGTGGGTCTCCATGAGCTGTCTGTGCAGTAGCAGCCCTCAGCTGGTGTTGGAGCATTAACCTAGGTGTTGGACAGAGGCGTGCATGCTCACGTTTGTATTCCCCTTCCGACGCTACTCACTAGTGCGTGTGATGAGCATGACAGGCCTGCTGATGTCGTTCTTGTTGTTCACGTTGCGTTTGACTGAAAAGACAGAAATATTGTAGGCTCTGCCAGAGGCTAGTGCCCGCAATTGGTGGGCAGAATGACTTCGGTCCACAAAATCTGTCCTGCGGTAAGAGCCGTCGAAGGATACGTACGTCACGGCGTAGCCGTCAATCATCTGCCTGGCAACTGGGTCTTCGGGGGGGTACCAAGAAATCGACACCCCTGTGTCCTCCACCCTGACCACCTTTAATGATGTTGGTGGCAGCAGTTCTTCAGGGTATCAATCAAAGCAAAGGGAAGAAGTAACATGGTAAATCTTTAGGCACCAGACCCCTGGGACTGACCCTCCAGCACACAAACACTGGCTGACAGGACTGTGTCAAGGCAGCTGTGAGGACAGCCCTGATATACAGCACAACAGTCATGCACAATGCAGGGAGTGTGCGCTGCTGGGGCATGAGCCTGCATGGTGCTGAGCGCTCTCCACTCCCAGGGGGTTCACACAGGCCCAAAGGCTGGTGCCTGCTGCTCCTTATCGTCCTGTTTGAGTCCTGAAGAAGGACCCTGGGGCATGAGCTGGGATCAGGGCCCCATTGTGCTAGGGACTGCGCACCCAGTCTGAGATGGGCATTGTCCTGAAGAGCTGGCAGTTTAAAAGCAGACGAGCCAGACAAAGGTTATCAATCCCCATTTTACAGATGGAGACCTGAGGGCCAGACACAGAGTGTGTCCGCAGGGAGTGTGCAGCAGAGTTGGGAACTGAATCCAGGCCTCACGAGTGCCAGTCCAGTGCCATCCTTCCTCTCTCAGACTGACTTCAGCACCTCCAGGAGTTGCTCAGCACCCAGCAAGATCAAGCCCCTCTGGCACCTTCCATCTGCGGGTATCACCACACTCTAAGACAAGGCAGTGATTTGCCCTGATGGCTGAGCCCGGCAGTGCCAGCCTGTTGCGAGTGGGTACGGTCCCAGGCATAGATCCCCCCCACAGTGGGCTCACACCGCTGCGTCCTAGCAGTGCATGTGGCAGCATATGCTGTCTGTGGTGACAGACAGGACTCACTTGAGTAGCCATCCAGCCCCTTTACCTTTTTCGCAGCTCTTGCCTGTGTAGCCCACCTTGCAGGTGCAGCTGTGGGATCCATTGCTAGGCAGGCAGTAGCCTCGGCTCCCACACGGGCTGTAGAAACAAGGATCGCTGGCTGGGGGAGAGGAGCAAGATCAAGGGTTATGGCTCATGCTGCCCAAGAAGGCCAAATAAAAAATGTTAATTACCGTTCAAGGCTGGCAAACTAGTAGCCAGGTTCAGTGCATGCAACCACACTGAATTAACCAGCCAGTGCAAAAGTAATGGGGGCTCTGGGAGGTCATTAGCTAAATCTCTTACACCTAGCCAAGGCTTACCCGTCTCGCAGTGGTAGCCGAAGAAACCCTCTGGGCAGACACACAGGTAGGAGCCACCATAGTTTTCACAGACCCCTCCATTACGGCAGGGAGCTGATTCGCAGGCATCCACTTCTAGAGGGCACAGATACACTCAGTCAAACATCTGCCAGAGACAGCATGGACATTAGAGGAAACTCTGGATCCCTTGTGGGGATTCTTGCTGCAAATGCAGCAGATGAAGTATATGTGCAAACCATGGGCCATGCACAGAACATGCATCTGTTTCGAGGGGAAGTGAAATTGGTGACTCACTCAAGATAGTCCAGATGCACATACTGTGCAGTCCATGGGCTAAATGCAGGACACATATTCATCCTATGAGCCCCTCACATTCAGCATATCCAAGCTCTGAAGCAGTGTCCCAAACTATTGGGTTACAGCTCCCAGAATTCATTGCCCAAAGTCCAGCACACTGACACAGGAGGGTCATTGTCTATTGGCTGCTGTGATGCATGAGCTCACTGCAGAACTCACACGTTACTCCAATGGTGAAAGCCCAACTCAGTGTCACTGCGCTAATTTAAGGGCTTGTCTATATGGGGAGTGATTCCTGATAGCTATTCCTGATTTAACTTAATGTGTGGACATTCTTATTCCATTCACACCCTACCTTATTCCAGATTCACTTTTACATGCAGACAAGCTGTTTAGTGCATGGATTTTTCTATAACAGTCTTTTGTGGTGGCAGAGAGAAGGGTATGTGTTGGAACCAACATCAAATTATCCCGCTAATTGAGCCTATATCCTGTAGATCACTAGCTAAATCTATTTACTAGCTGATTGTAATTGTGGCTTTGTTTACAATCTGTGGACCAGAGCCTCAAGTCCCTACTCAGTGCAGGATCCAAAGTCCAAAGACTCTCTCTATTGACCTCAGTAGGCTCTGGCTCAGGCTCTGGGTCATTTCTTGGGAAAAACCCCACTGACGTCAAGGACTTGGTGATGTGGGGCTCTGAGGTTGGCACAGCACACCTGCTCTCAGCACAGCACAGCAGTGCGCTCGCTGGAATCATTTTCATGAGAGTAGGGCAAAATTATCACACAATGCGGGCTGGTCTCCACGAACAGTCAGTGTGCAGCAAGCTGGGGTGTGAATCTACCCCACACCAGCCTGCTGCGCACCGACTGTCTGCATGCAGGCTGCTGACACACGTTAACAGTTCATTAATGCACTTTGATTAGTCCCATTTCAAACCCACTCAATCAAAGCTCACTACAGAACTGGTAATGTGCGTCAGCAGGTCACACTGAACACAGCACCTGCCTCTTTCTGCTAACCAGGATAGGTTGGTGAGCACGTACTGATGCCATCAGACCCCCTGGTTAAGTGCTCATTGGTGTGAATGAGAGTCCCAAGGAGGCCCCTGCCTTCTGAATGGAGGCAAGGGTGATATTTAAAAGTCACTGCATATGTTTGATTGCCATCAAAAAGCCAAGCAGAAGGCAGCTTAAGAGGTGTCCATATGTCTTTCAATACAGACATGATGCACTGATACATGGAGCTTATTATGCACAGTGACAGCCACTGAAAGGTCACGGTCAGCAACTCACACTTATCACCACAGCTGGTAAAAAATTAATCAACACAAATCAGCAAATAGATTTTAGAAATTTTTCCTCCTTTTTTTGGTCAAAATTTTAAATTTCAAAACTAAAAAGTAAATGCTGGCCAGCTCTAGGGTTTGTTGAAAAATAACGGGGGAGGGGGGAGAATCACAAAAAATGTCACCAAATTTCCCACCTCCCCATTGGTGACAAAAAGTGAAAAAAGTGTCGGCTCTGGGGACTGCCCAGCACTAGCCAAGACAGTGCCATGCCTGAGGGAGGCAGGCTTGGCCAGTGGTTAGGGCACCAGCCAAGGATGCTGCAGATCTGGCTTTGAGTCCCTGCTCTAGCACAGACTGCCTGGGTGCCCTTGGGCAGGCTAACTGGACGCAGGTCACACTGCTCTGCAGGGAAGATGCAGGGGCATCTCCTGGGGCAGAATCAGAGCCTGCTGGTGGAGCTCAAGAGTATGGAAACCGAATCTCATGCTCCAGCAGGACAGCGCAGGGCTGCTGAATTCCCATCCCAGCCCTCACAAGATAGTCCTCCTACAAGCGAGCATGCCTGGGAACTCCAGGGCATACCTGTCAAGGTTCGTGAGGATGGACCAGGCTGGGCAGGCCAGTACTACCTCCATGGCTCTCTCTCAGGCCTTGGCTACACTTACCCGCTAGTTCGGCGGCTGGCAATCGAACTTCTGGGTTCGACTTATCGCGTCTAGTCTGGACGCGATAAGTCGAACCCGGAAGTGCTCGCCGTCGACTGCGGTACTCCAGCTCGGCGAGAGGAGTACCGCGGAGTCGACGGGGGAGCCTGCCTGCCGAGTGTGGACCAAGGTAAGTTCAAACTAAGGTACTTCGAACTTCAGCTACGTTATTCACGTAGCTGAAGTTGCGTACCTTAGTTCGAATTAGGGGGGTAGTGTAGACCTGGCCTCAGACTAGCCAGGGGCATCAGACTGGAAATTCCAGCACTGGCTTTGAGGGACTTGGGTTGAGCTTTACCCTGTGAAATTTCTACCTGTTTCACACTGGATTCCCACGAAGCCATCAGGACAATGACAAGCAAAGGATCCTGGGAGATCCTTGCAAGTTCCTCCATTCTTACAGGGGTCGGACTGACATTCATCAATCTCTGTGTAGAAGCAAAAGGAAACACTCACGTACAGACCAGAAACCCATCCTCAGCACAGCATGCACTGACAACACAGAGCTAGTCCAGGCGGCCCTTACTCACTGTCCTGGACGCTTACACACACAAGTAGCCTCACTGGCTTGGGGCTACTAGTTTAAGTGCTCACCAACATGAGTAAGAACTGCACAACTAGGTCAATCCTAAAAGGCCAGGCTGCTATGCTGGAACCCTTGGCACTTGTGTTAATCCAGTTCTGATTTCAGGCTTGGGCAGTCTGAATAACAAGAGCCTCACATAGGGAAGGAGTGGTCCGAAACACAATCAAATGCCTTGTTATTCGGGGTGACACTGTGAATATTGGTATGTATTTTTGCTGGTAAATGCTGTGGGTTTGACATTGGGTTGTGTGCGCCATGCTGCACTTAGAGTACACAGCCACTTTTCTTCCTTTTCATAGCTCCCCTTCAGCTGTGTGTGTAATTCGTGCCAGTAAAACATACACATGCCCCGTTCAAAAGGCATTGCCAAAGCTCCTGCCACATGGAAAGCGTTTGCTCCCTTAGGCTGGTACCCATTAAAGAGGGCTAGTGCTGTTCATGAGTGCATTGGGCACAGGCACAAGCCAAGCAGGTACAAGGAACTGAGTGGAGGGAAAGCTTTGGGTTCTTCACACCCTCCCCTCCCCTCCCGCACCCATGGGAAGTGTCCAATTTCAACCACATTTTTCAGACTTTCATTGAAAAACCAAAACATTTTGGACAACTGGGCAAAAAATTATGGGTTTTACTGAATATTTTTCTCCTGACCTGCTGAATTTTTTGTTTTTGGTTGTCGAAAGCCATTCTTTTAAATGCAATCTCAAAAATATTACAATTATTAAAATGAATCATTTCTAAAAAAAAAAAAGTAGCCAATCAGCTCCAATAAAGAGAATAAGAGGGTGCAGGGTACGTGTGGCTGTTTATATCCCCAACACATACAGACCTAAAGCTGACTAGGGGATATAGACACACAATTCCCATTTGTTTAAAAGGGGACTGTGAATCTAAATCCATTAGGCTGCATTGAAAAACTCAACCACATTCTCCTCTATAGCTCTAGGAGACTGATCACACACATGCGCGGTGGCA